TTTCAGAGGGTGATTTGAGAAGCCAAAGTATTATAACGAAACGTGCAAAGACCTGGAGTTAGAAAACTTAAAGGGAAGGACATGCTTGGTATTTCTCAAGCTGAAAGAACTAAAGAAAAAATTCAAGCCTCAAGTTGCAGTACTGAAGGATTCTGTGGGCAATAAATACATTGAACGATGCAGGAAGCATTAAAAGAAGATGGAAGGAATGCACAGAAGCACTGTTCCAAAAAGAATTGGTCGACGTTCAACCATTTCAGGAGGTAACATACAATCAAGAACCGGCGGTACTGAAGGAAGAAGTCCAAGCTGCAAGGCATTGGCAGAAAAAAAGGCTCCAGGAATCGACGGAGTACCACTTGAGATGTTTTAACAAACTGGAGATGCTCACGCTTCTATGCCAAGAAATTTGCAAGACAGTTACCTGGCCAGCCGACTAAAAGAGATCCATATTTGTGCCCATTCCAAAGACAGGTGATCCAACAGGATGTGGAAATTATTGAACAATATTATTAATGTCACATGCATGTCATATTTTGCTGAAGATAATTCAGAAACCGTTGCAGCAGTACACCAACAGGGAACTGCAAGAAATTCAAGCCAGATTCAGAAGAGGACTTGGAACAAGGGCTATCACTGCTGATGTCAGGCGGATCTTGGCTGAAAGCAGAGAATACCAGAAAGATGTTTGCTTTGTGACTATGCAGATGCATTCGACTCTGTAGGTCATAACAAATTGTGGATAACGTTTCAATGAATGGGAATTCCAGAACACTTAATTGTGCCTATGTGGAACCCGTACATAGACCAAGAGGCAGTCGTTTGAACAGAACAGGAGGATACTGTGTTGTTTAAAATCAGAAAAGGTGTGCGTCAGGGTTGTATCCTTTCAGCATGCGTATTCAATCCGTGTGCTCAGGAAATAATCTGAGAAGCCAGACTGTATGAAGAAAAACGCAGTATCAGGATTAGAGGAAGACTCATTAACAACCTGTGATATTGACACAACCTTGCTTGCTGAAAGCAAAGAGGACATGAAGAACTGATGAAGATTAAAGACACAGCCTTCGGTATGGATTACACCTCAACATAAAGAGGACAAAAATCTTCACACCGGCACCAATAAGCAACATCATGATAACTGGAGCAAAAATTGTAGTTGTCCAGATTTCATTTTATTTGGATCCATAATCAATGCCATGGAAGCAGCAGTGAAGAAATCCAACGACTTCTTGCATTGGGCAAATCTACTGCAAAATACCTCTTTAAAGTGTTGAAAAACAAAGATGTCAGTTTTAGGAC